TAACAACGGGGTGCGTGCTTGCGTCCGGGCCGGTAAATTACATTAAGAACTAAGGCGGCGGTGGTGTCGTCGACGCAATACCACAGATGCTCGTGATCTCGCGACCATAGCTATATAGGGTGCGACGACAAACACTCTTATAAAATATTATACTCGCGGGACGGACGTGATGAAGAATAGAAACATAAAAAAACAGAGATCCCGTCTTGCAGGTGGAGGTTTTAGTCTCGTGTCGCATAGTATAATATGTATACACGCGGTGTTTCAAAAGACTTCATCTGATTACTAACTGCAGATACAGTTCGGAAACGGTTAATCGCAGGTTGACAACCCGTGTATTAATGAAAAGTTAAGTAACCAAGTTTGTTTTAAGTTATCTAACTGATAGACTTGGCACCGTAATGATTGGTGGTGAACTATAGCAGTAGAACTCCCTTAAGGAAACGACAATTYGGCAGTTCATCCCTGACCAACCCACRTTCCCCTGACCTCACACCGTGTGATTTTTGTTTTTTGTTGTTTATGGGGCTACGTAAAAGATAAAGTGTGTTTTAGGTACCACCATTACATATACAAACTTGGAAGAGCTTAAAACCAGAATCACAGATGCTGCGAATACCGCAACACCTGTAGATATGATCATCAATCAGCATCGTATGGGAGGAATTTGAATACCATATATAGATTACGTCCGGCTGCTGGTGGGGGCAATATTGAAGATTTTTAACCAAACGGTAATAAAAACATGACTGTTTCAAGAATATATTTTACTTTATTTCACCCGTTTATCTTTATTTTTAAAATAAATATAAATGTTTGAAATCGGATGAAGACTTATGAAACACCGTGTACAATGTCACGTGCGTGGCGACGGCGACGTTGGTTTCTATGTCCGTTTGGTGCTCATATTAWGCTTTTCTCCTCGCGTGTATGTGGGTAGGCATTATATTATTATTTGCGTTGATGTAACGTGTAAGGTACCTACGTGTGTGCACGCGTACCAAAAACGACTTGGAACGCGTTGAGTCTCGTTGAGAACAAAACAAAATCGAACGGCGGCGAATACGTATTTTGTTTGTAATAAATGCATCTTGATATTATGGCTGTTTGCTACGAAATAAATAACTGCATTCAAATGTTAATATCCCGTTAAGACTCGTACACTTGAAATCAAATACAAAAGAGAGTACCTTTGAAGCACGTCAATATTGATATATGAGACTATCGACCTGTAAATACTTGACCGAGACGTCCATGAAAATACGGCCACGATGATAATGGGCACATTATAAATACGTTATGTACACTCTAAAAACGTGGAAGTATAAATTATAGATGAAATATATAAGTAGACTTGTTTAATGCTTTTGAATTATTGAAATAATCCGCAATGTCTATATRGACATAGGTACTAAAATATTTCAAAAGCATAAAAAATAATAATATAAATCTCAAATTGATTTTTGAATAATGATAGCTTACCTACTACATAGGTACCTATCGAAAATTGTACACTGTTTTACTAACTTTTTGTTCAATTATATACTTACACTTTATGACGTATTATGCATGCATTTTTCTATAGAACAGAACCTGAAAATGATCAATATGATTATTTCATGAAGTATATTAATTTAAAAATTAACCATTCTTATTCCTGTATTTAACTATCAATAGAAAAATATATTGATAGAACTCATCATTTATGATTCATTAAAGTTGTAATGTATAATTTATCAAAAGTTAGGTAGCCAACTAAATATTAAATTAGTTATATATTCAGTAGGTATCATGAAAATTGTACTGTATAATATTATTTTATTGTATTACAAGTGTTAATAGTTGAACAATTAAAAGATAAATTACAAAAAGTTTATGAATTTTGTGAAACTACTACATTTTTTTGCCAATTCAATAAATCACCAAATGACCCATTGTGTGTTATTCTAACAGATATTCTTATTAACAACTTATTTATTACAATATAATTAAAAATTCTGACAATATAGTAATTACAGATATTGGTTCGCTTGTAATTTATACTATAAAGTTTAAGTTATTAGTTTTTTACCACAACCATAAAAATACGATAAATAATATATTTACATAAAAAAATGTATCCCATTGGAATGTATAATTTTATGGTACCGACTAGTAAAATATTAATTTTTCTGTTAAAATAATTATTTTTTCATTTTTTGTTCGAGACTATTTTTATTATTTATCACAAGATATTTATACAATATTAATACAGTATTAAAAAAACATTTATTCGTTGTTTTAAATTTTTGAGAAATGGTAGCTTTTCACGATCAGTGTTCCATATGTCATTAATATATTATTGAACTTCAATTTAATTTATTTAGCATAGTCTACAATAAAATACAATGTAGGTATTATTACAATTCAATTTATTATTTATAAATAATACATATACAATTTAAATAATATTGTTCAAATAAAAATATATTCCCGTCAGAGTAGTTGCCAGTGCAACAATTCTCGATTTTAAATTGTACATTGTACCTTCACATATAAATTATAACAATAAACAATAAATTATATACAGCTAAAAAATTACTCTCCATAGCGTTATAAATCATGATTTATAATTAAACATTTAATATTAATTGTTGTATTTGTTATTTTTTTCATATGGTAGCCCAATAGTTATGGCTTATTAATTAGTACAATCAAATATTTAACTTCATTAATTTTACCTTGATAAMCATTTATTATTAATATGATAATTATTTTATTTATTTAAATTCGTATTTATGGTTGTATATTTGTAAATCTAATTTAACAACTTCCGGTACCAAAATGAACAAGAAGTTCACAGTTACTGAATACCTACTTACACAATTTGAACATCGGACTAGATCTTTATATAATAATATGAATCTATATTTATTTCTTTTATATTTACCAGAAAATTAAGAAAAACAAAAATACAGTAATACTCAATAATCATATTATCTATTATATCATCATTCAAAACAATAATATCTGTAATTCTAACATTACAGAAACCTTTAATAGGTACTATTTGATTTGAGAACAAAAAAAAAATCTTAAGTGTGTTGGATCTGGGTTTTCAAATATTCCGCAATCCTTGATAATTACATTTTAAATTTTAGTTACTAACTTAAATATAACACTTGCCTAATAACCAATCATCCTATACCTATTTAGGAAGGGAATTTATAGGTGCATTATATCATTATATAAATAAAAATGATTTCACGGGCTAAACTCACATGCCTTGTTTATTTATCAAATTTCGATTATTTTTCTTTTATCTAAAAAATGAGCACTTTCTGTAAATCGAATCGAAGTCTTAATTTTCATTGCACTTTTARTATTAGATTACTTGTAAGATGATCAATATTTTGTATTATTTTAAAAGCAAATTTTAGATTCTATAATTATAATTTTAAAAAACAGGCATTGATCTGACCTGCAAAATATTCTCTTCTGAAAAAAAAATAAAATAAATCTGACTATTCTCTAAGAGAACGTTCATTTGTTTGTACTAATAACACACCGAATTCGACACCATTATAAACAAATGTCGACCTTCAAATGTGGCTCATTATAAATATTTCAATACTATTTTAATGTCTTGTTTGAAATTGGTATTATTTTTGTTTATGAAATTTMAAAAAAATTATTTTTTACAAGAATTGTATGGTAAAATTTATATATATATACTCGTATATTGTATAATTGTATGACTTACCATTTCGTAATGTACATGAATACATGATTAATAACGACGATATCAAATGTCAATCACGGGTAATTTATCTTCATAAATATTAGTATTTATATAACTTTAATAGAACATCTTAAATTATTGACAACGTCTCAACTCTATATTGCATGATTGGAAGAATAAGAGAATCGTATTTCTTATTTATAAATGATAAATACCATTAACTGTAATTAAAATATATCGAAAAATGGTCTTAATGTTACGTATAGATTTCCAAGAAAGTTTTAAGTGTAATGAGTGTACATACATTATGCAAATATAAATAGCTCGAAAAAAGCATCCAACATTTTTAGAACTAATTAAATATTAAAACTATGAAAAATAAGATGTGTGTGTGTTTATGTGCTAAGTACAGTCGTTGAGCCGAGTTTCTATCCCTGAAAGTTTGTCGTTGATGTAGTATGACATGGATAACTATATTATAGGCTTGGTGCTAATTAGATAAGAACTAGACGTGCAACCGTCCTCCTCCGAACAATACGAGTAAACTACCTACAATATCTCAAATAAGTTCACCTGACATGAAAACATATATGTTAAAGGTTAAAAAAAAATTATTGTGAATTGTACATAAATACATGAATACTTAAAATTCCAATGCTATCAATAATGTTATTATAATATTATATTAAAATATAATATATATAATAAAATTCTCTGATGTACAGAAAATGCATTTTCGTTATTTTCTAGTTTTTGTTTGTATACACTATTATAGTAGACATATAAACATATATTTCCAGCTTAACCAAACCTTCTCAGCCTTATCTGTATTACTTTAAAATTATACGACASTAGCCAGATCCCTCGATAAGATTGTGCATTCAGCACACAAATTCAAAAAACGCTCAGTGCATGCATATTATTGTTATTAGCTATTTTTAATTTTTGAGGTATTTTGAATCTCTTGAATYAATGGTAGCATACATAATCTATCTTCGATATATATAAAGGAATTTGTCCTCTGGAGGGATCACCGTAGAGCCCAAACAACAGGGCAGATCTGCTTGAAATTTTCAGGATGGATTAATATTTTAATTGCACCTTCCTTTAAGAAAGGATTTTCGGAAAWTCAACCTTTAAAGGTAAAATTAAGTGGTTGTATGTATACAACAGTGGCGCCATCTATCAAGCAATATCTAATATTATTGATGTTATATTTATTTTTTATATTGTTATAATGTTATAATTGTTTATAATGTTTGTTTTGAATCTAAGCGGAATGAGCATAAAAGAATATTGTATGCCAACTTCTACAAGATCTTGTGAACTATTAGAAAATAGAGAATATTTAAAAGAAACAAGCTATGATTTAATTGCTTTACACGAGATTGTTAGGTAAGCAAAATGAACACTCATTGACTGAGGAACAGTGGTTTGTTTACAAACAAATATTAAATAGCATCAAATTAAATTTAGGAAAACGTATATGTTTTTGGTTGCTCCTGGTGGAACCGGTAAAACCCACTTAATCAATCTAAAACCAAAAGACTTTCAACAGGTTATTAAWAATAAATTGGATCTACCCAAAATCATAATACCCACTATTTAAGCTACAAATAAATTCTATGATATTTGTATTCAACAATTTAAATTTTAAACTATTGAAAACGAATGAATAGTTTTCCTAGTATTTCTATCGATGATTCACTCATATTTTATACTTTTTATTTCACTGCTCTCTCTCTCTCTATATATATATATATATATTGGACCCTGTTAGGATTATAATACAAAATAAGAAAACATTTTTGATACTCTACAAAATAATAATTTTTATCTCAGTAAACAATTACTCGAAATTCTATGGRACTTGCTCGAGAGAATATGATTTGTTCGCCAAGGATTATTTTAGCCCCTCCACCACATAAATCCTAAATGATCGGTAAGAAAGCTAATCTCTATACTGCCATATTACGATGAGTCAAATAGTATTTTGGTACATTTCACATCAGACCGTCTAGAACGTGAGATATTAAAGTTCTATCATCTAAAGGAAATAAGATTTTGATATTGCTTATTTTACAGTTTTTCCGTTAATCGTTTACGATGCAAACATTCAATGATTTAATACCATACATATTATATTCTATCTATGATTAAATGAAGATTTTTTGATTTTTTTTTTGCAGAAAAGATCTAGTGAATAGTTCTTATGAATGTAATTTAATAAATAAAAATTTACGACTTATGATATAAAAAAAAAATTGATACCAATGATGAAAATACATCAAGATATCTGAAAATTACTTTAGTTTTTTAAAAACTGGCCACAGAGAAAATATATACTTATTTTAAAACAGAGTATAAATATATCCTTACCGTTGAATTTGTTCAAACATAGTTGTCCATTTATAAGCATTTCGTTTGACTTAAAAGAACAGATGTCTGCTTTGATAAATACAAAGTATATCATTTTTATTCATTAAATGTCTGTTGAAATAGCTATAGTATGTTGTATGCCTTAAGTTACTTATTAATATAGAACCATTGACCAACTGTAAAAAATACTGATTTGTAGAATTGAGTCTCGTATTTTATTTCAATCGTAGGTATTACCTATGCTGGTATTTTTATTTTTTATTTTTTTYTAGTATCATTATTATACTTTTTCTTGTGTTATACCAGGTAAGATTAATAACTTTTTTCATTGATATATTTATTTTACCCTCAATGATTTTTTGTAACTTTAGGCTATAAGTATTTATAATTAAATGGAAAATAGAATTTAAAAATTCAATTGTTTGAGGTTATTTTAATACAAATAGTAACAATCACTGAATTAGTGTAATATCTATCTAGTTTATATTGTGATGCTTAAATTATTACATTATGTCCTTAACAATGAGTCCAGGTGACAATAATATCATAAAACCTTTAAAAAAAAAAAAATTAAATGCATTACAACCAAATTCAGCTTTTGATATTTTAAAAGATTAAGTAGCAAGGAGCTCAGTATTTTTTAAATTAATATCTATTGTATATGGTTTATAATTGAAATACAAATTATACATATATATATATATATATTTAATTAAGGTACATATTTTATAATAATTATTAAATTTAGTTTTTATAATACGTTAGATTTATTTCGTTAGGACAATTGCAATAMATGTGCCTACTCTAATGTCTCTAATCGCTATTCTCTACTAAGTTAGCATTAATTATTCATAACCATTTGTACAGGATATGACTTTGTTCTAGAAAATTCATCAGAGTCCCTTATATATTTTAATACAAATAGTTTAATTAGACACTTTTACAACTGTAAAATTTATGTTCAAGTACATTTTGTAAATTTAAAAAAAAAAATTGATTTTTCATTTTTATGATATGTATACCATATTATATTGCCAATAAGTTCTARGTTTGTAACTATTATAAATTTACACAGAATTTATTATATATTTAAAAATCCTTGATAGAGAAGCTTAAATTTTCTTTATACCCATAAATTAATTTTATTAAATTGTATGTTTTTTACTACAAATTTTTACAAAATATGACTCCTACAATGGCTATTGATTATAAGTATTATGGTTTTTTTTTGTCTTGGCCATATGAAAGAAATACAATATGTATTTTATTGCTAACCTTTTTCTGTCTACAGTAATAATAAAATATCCAGTAAAATATACTTTTGAAATATTTTGTTAAATAAAAAAAAAATGTTTTATCTTTTTAACACTCATTTTTAATACGCATTTCTCTTCTTGTCGCTATATCATCAAAACGCTTAACAAAGAAGCTGAAAAATTATTACTTTTCTTTTTTTGTTTGAGTTTATTTCTATTTTTTTATTTTGACTCAGAATACTCTTTTAGAATTGATTTAAATGAAAAAAATTGTAGCACTTTTAGTTCATTAAATGTGTATCTTTTAATCAGAGTCTATTTAAAAAGGGACCAATAATGATTTTACGATACTATATTTTAATAATATTATTTTTTGTTTTTATGTTTAATTTCTGTAAAAATTATTAATAATTGTACTTCAAGTTTCAAGAAACTAATAGGTAGTCTATAAATATTTAGCCCTAAAAATATAAAAAAAAATATATCTTAAATATAAAATTTAGTATCTTCGTTTTATGAGTGTTAAAAAAAAAATGCCGATTTGTCTAAGGTTATATTTACATTAATATACATTAAAGATACTATATTATATTTAAAAAATTTGTTTTAAAAAATAATTATAAATATTTGATACACACGAATTTGATAAAAATTAAATAATACCATGTATAACAATTTTGTTAAATCCTTTTATAACAAGATATTGTATATTATTCTTTATATAAAACAACTCGAGAGGAACTTATTATTTCATTCTAACTAGGCCTACATTTTCTTGCAACAATGTAATTTAATTGTTTTTTTTTTTTTTTTTAAATTAAATCGTTGATTTTAATAATAATAATAAACTAACACATGGTTTGTTATAACTAATTATTTATAACGCACGGCAGTATTTGAATGTTTCTAGTGAAATTAAATCATTGAATTAGAAAAAGTTTGTTTCCTATGAAAACAAAATCAATATTTTTACARCGCRCTACCATTTTTGTTTTATGGTAAAGTACAGTTTTGGTCATTTAGTGGATGTAATGGTTACGGCTGTTATCGTAGCTACGTGTACAACGACATGAATTCGGTTTCGTCCGGTAGCTCATTGACATTTTATTGACCTACGGTCCCTGGTGTTCTGTACGTTTTTAACGAATGAAAACGAAAGGGGAGGAGTATCAGGAAACGTTAAAAATAAACCCATTACAGTAGCTTGAAGCTGTATCGAGTGCGAAAAACATAGTCCCTAATTTCAACAATTTTATCTCTATTATTCCCTTAACGTTTTTCGTACAACAACAATTCGAACTTGGATACAATTTTCTAAATTTTCTAATAAAAAAAAAATTGACAAAAAAATATAATAGATTTTTTAACTATGAAATTCCACAATAAACGTTAAATAATTTTAAGATATTACAGTAGTAGTACTARAACAAGTTTCGTCCTTAGGCGTTCTTTGTTTAGATACTATTAACTAGTTGTTAACTTATATAATGACTCTCATACAATGTAAAGAAACCTTTTATCGCAATCAACCTAATATTCAATTGAGCAATGTTGAAAATTAAAGCGATGAATTATTTAGAAAGAAAAATATATTTCTATAACGTAATAACTATTGTCATAATTATAGTACATTTATAACATTTATATATTTATTTATTATTATTATTATACATTGTGCAGCATGATTATAAATTAAAATAGGATATTTTATGGAAATCTTAGTTAAATTGAATGATCTTATGTATATATATTTATTTAAATTGTACAGTAAACCRATGGAATTTCTGCACGTTGGTTATTGATATTTGTTTAGCATGTGATCTAGGGGACTAATGTATTTAACTTGACCTTATAATTATGTATGCATTGAAGTACAGTTGCACACAATAATATTTATGACACAATTGCWACAATAACGTTTATATTTGTACYTACTTGCAGTAAAAGACGATATAAATATATCCAAATGCAATACTTGTTTTACATAAAATTCATCTGATCATTTTAACGTGAAAAAAATCAATACAATCATGAGAAATTGATTTTTTTATACTATCATCACGTTAATCCTACAATAGGTATAATATCAGCGAAAAAACACTATAATAGTTTCTACGTAGCTCTGATTTTGAGAAGAAAATCAATCCATGAGGCCATAAATATTCGCAATTATTATAGTTGTGGAATTGAAGGACCATGGAATTTGTATRTTGGAAAATTGTGAATTATTAGAGCCCAAAATGTTCATAGTTCATCCAGGAGATAAAAACGCATTAATTCCAATTATTATCAAAATTGAAGTTTTGCGTGAGTCAACTTTAGTTTCTGGTGGGTGGAAATCATACTCCTATCTGAAAGATATTGACAGTAATAATTTAATTTTTAATCATTCAAAAATTGGTATACATCCTTACAATTTAATGTTTATGGTCAAAGTTCGAAATCTTAAAAAGAATGACGTACGAGTCTAATGAAAATTTATAAGCTACATAAATTAGCTGAATGTTGATACTGCTCATTAAAAAAGTAGTCAACAATTAATTCATACATCTTTTGAGGAAAAAAAAAGTTTAGGAATGTTTTGAAAATTTATAATAATGTAATGTAGGTTATATCGTATGTATATATAATATAATATATATACATTATTATTTTTAATAATATTTTGTTWTTCAATATAAAATAAATATTATCTAGTGACATTTAAATTATATTTATTTTTTACCTATATTAATTGTATTTTTTTACGCAGTAACACAACCTAAAAATACATTGTAGGTCACCCTCTAAACGAGTTCCTTATTATTTAACCAAAAATATGATAAACTTCAAATATTTTTTAACGTGATTTTAATGATTGAAAATAAAAAAAATATTTATTTTAAGACTAAAYAATTACCTTATGAAATTCCCAAAAAAGTATTAAACCTTAAGCCAAAAATTTTACCTAAAATATTAGATGACACATCGATTATGAAATCGCTAATTACTTAGCTGCTTATCCAGTTATCACATATTGTTAAACGTAATAAAAAAAACGTATTTTAAAAATAATTAATCTAAATCACATATAGCTTATCATATTTCATTTTTAGTTATATCATTTAAAATGTATCACTACACAATGGTACCTCTAACCAATTATTTCACAACTATTAATTCATTGATCAGATATTATTATTGTCAATGAATGGATTGTATATTTTTAATTTAAAATTTAAAAAAGGATTACATGCATTTATWATTAATTAATGCATCATATTAATGAACCAATACACAATATTTATACCTATCAAATCTACAGAAAAAAAATTATTCGTATCCTAACTAAACCTAACATACAAACAGTTTTAATATTCTTAAAGAAAACGGTATAATTTAACATAATACTTGAGTATACAATACAATATTGTTGATAGCTGTATACTCAACAAATTGATTTTAAAATATTAAATAAACATTTTTATTCGTTTTTTTTTTTTTTAATTTGCTTTTAAAATGACCTTATATAGGCAATAACATTAACTAAGCTATGTATATAATCATTTTATCAATGCTGTAATCACTTTAAAATTGAACACAATAATATAATACTGGATTAGGTGTTATCTAGAAAGAAGAAAATCAATAAA